GCAAACCTTTTTATGGGTAGATGGGAGAAGAAATATTATATAATTTTCAGAATTCAATCTTGCTCTATAAAAGATATGTTAATGACATTTTTTCATATTTCATGGATTAATTAAAAATCTGCTGAAGGTTTTTAGTTTTATGAACAGTATGCATCATTCCAACAAATTTGTTTTTAACCATTCTCAGTCTACCGTTATTTTTATAGACCTTACCATTTATAAAAATAACGTTGGTGATATGATAACAGCTATTTATAGAAAACCTACGGATATGATGTGTTTTTTGTACTATGAATCAAATCACCCTTTACACCTAAAATCTAACATTTTTAATCAAGCCCTGAGATATAACAAAGTTATATCTGAAAACAATACCTTGATAAAAAAGCTCAAGACCTTACCACAAATTGCGATAGTTCCTGGGTATCCCATAGAAGTCATAAGCGTTTCTGTTAAAAAGCTTTAGGCTATACTCAACACCAATTTTATATGAGAAAAGAAGAAAAAAAAGGAAAGTTTTTTACCTGTATACCTTATAACGATAAAGGAAGAAAAATTAGGAGCATAAAAAGTAAACATTGGCACATGATAAGAAATGACAAGGGTCTGAAAACAATATGGCATTTTTTAACACTAGTTGTTTAATTATATATATATATATATATATATATATATATATATATATATATATATATATATATATATACACATATATATATATATAATAAAATAATTTAAATGAAAAAAATACAACTTTATGATGGAACTAAAAGTTTCATGTCATTCGGCAATCATCAGCTATATTATTCATGTAAAAAATAAAAACCGTTATAAAAAATACAAATTTAGCGTTGCAACGGCATCTTTCTAAGGAAATCTGGAAACTTAAAGACGCGGGTAACATGCCTATAATTAAGTGGAAAATAATTAAAAGATGCCAATCTTTTAACCCATCTACAAAAAAGTGTAACCTTTGCATCAATGAAAAATATTTTATTATGACTTTTGATAGCCGACTACTACTTAACAAAAAAAATGAATTGGTTTCTGCTTGTAGGCATAGGAAAAAATTTTTACTATCTAACTTTGATTCCGGCGATTAGAAAATATCGGATCACGTACAATTGACGTCAGATGCCGTTGCAACGCTAAATTTGTATTTTTTATGACGGTTTTTATTTTTTACATGAATAATATGGCTGATGATTGCCGAATGGGATGAAACTTTTAGTTCCATCATAAAGTTGTATTTTTTTCATTTAAATTATTTTATTATAATTTGATCTATTTTTTAAAAAAAGATATTGATCACTCTTAAACAGACAAGAGTTGTATTTCCAGCAGTATACAACATTTATCAATAAATAAATATATATATATATATATATATATATATATATATATATATATATATATATATATATATACATATATATATATATATATATATATATATATATATATATATATATATATATATATATAATATATATATATACATTATATATATATATATATATATATATATATATATATTTCTGAAATTAAATACTGTCGACAATCAAAATTCGGACGTAAAAACTAGGGAATTTTTAACACTAGTTGTTTAGTTATATATATTTATATATACATACACATATGTATGTATATATATACATATATATTGCTGATATTAAATACTGTCAACAATCAAATTATCATTCGTGTTGGGTACTTGGAAATTTTTTTATGAGGATATTTTAGTTGTCTGACTATTCTAAATTGGTGGTTGTCTTAATAATACTATAGGTTAACAACCTTTTTATTCCTTCCAGTAAAAAAAATTGCTAGCTACTTGTTGTTATATTTATATATTTATATATATATATATATATATATATATATATATATATATATATATATATATATATATATATATATATATAGCGTGTGCAGTTGCATATATAAAATTTTTATACAATACTTGTTTTCTTATTTTTTACAGTCGTTAAAAAAAACATTGTCCTTAATAGCGATTTAACAACAATTGAAAGTTTTGATATGCAATTTATTTATGATTTTTATCAGTTCATATAGTTAAAAAACTAATTTGTTATGTATGCTAGAACTATGAGAAATTTTGTTTACCACAAAATGGTTTACCACATTTGATGCATTTCTGAAATTGTTTCTTTTATAATGCCTAATTTCCAATGTTAATACAAATTACTAGAGATAATGAACATAACAATTGCTCTGTTAAAAACTTAAAAAAAGGTTGTAAATAGGCTCCTAAACATTAAAAAAGTTCAGTTAAGTAACAATGCACTAGCCCACAAGCTTTTGGAGCATCGTCAATAACAATAATTGATTAGGAAATATACTATCAGGTTGCACAATTTGGATAATCAAAGTACAAATGCACAATTTAGATAATCCCTCAAAAGTGCAGACCATTTCAATGGGAGTATTGAAAACAATCAAATATTTTATATTTAAATATTACTTGAACAACCTAATAGCAATAAATGTGAACACATTTTAAAGAGAAACACAATATTTTTTAATCTTGACATGTTTCGTAGTTAACATACTACATTTTTAAAAGATAAAATTACAATTTAAAACTCTGGATATAAATATAAATTCAAAATTTGAAGACATTACAGAGAATTATTAACAGACAAATAGAATTGTTATAAACCAATAAAAATTATAATACAAATTATTAAACCGTAATAGCATTAAAAAAAACAAAAAACATAAAAAAAAAACTAGATTGACAAATTTATATTATAATGAACAGTTTGTTTATTTAAAGATGGGTTTTCCCATTTAATATGGAGTGCTTCTTTAATTTTCAATTTTCTTTTGTTAGGAGCAGTATCCAAAATTTTAAAACAATTACAATTACTAAGATTTTTACAATCAACAGATGAAATTAAATGCTTATAAACATTAGATTGTTTGTCACTTGTAAGATGCTCATAAATCCTTGTTGTTTAGTGTCTGGAGGTTTCTCCAATATAACTGGCATTACATTCAGCACAAGAAAATTTGTAAACAACATTGGATTTGAGCAGCTTAGGAAGTGGATCTTTTATACATAAACTGTTATGTAATTTGTTGGAAGTGAAAATTAAATTAATCATAATATCTTTACAATATTTTTTAATGGTTTTATTAACTTTAGATTTAATAAAATTTGAGTAAAATCATATAAATGGAACTTTATAATATCTTATATTAGGGTTATCAATTTTATTTATCACAGATGGATTTAACTTTTTATTAACAAATAATTTTATTTCAGTGTCAATTATTTTAGGTGGGTATTGGTTATTTTTTAAAATATTAAATAGATTTTTTATGTCCTTATCAAATCCTAGCCATGTGTTGTTGATTTTATACGTTCTATCAATTAAACAACGTATAGGACTAATTTCATAACAAAAGGGAACAAAACTGGAAAATTTTTGTAAAAGACCCATATATGTTTTTTTGTGATAAACTGATGTGGAAAGCGAAACAGACTTATTGATAAGAACATCTAAAAATGCAATTTGATTATTAAGTAAATTTTAAGTTTTTATGTTGTTTATTAAGATGTGTAAAAAATTCCTGAGCTTTAAACTCTGAATTAAAAATAGCGATAATATCATCCACATAATATCATCCACATAATATCATCCACATCCAACGTTTATAGAAAATCAGTATGGAGGAAGAGCATTTACTCATTTTTGTTCGTGAAATATTAGTTAAAATTGGCGCTAAAGGAAAAACTCCATATTAAATGGGAAAACCCATCTTTAAATAAACAAACTGTTCATTATAATATAAATTTGTCAATCTAGTTTTTTTTTATGTTTTTTTTTTTTTTTTTTTTTAATGCTATTACGGTTTAATAATTTGTATTATAATTTTTATTAGTTTATAACAATTCTATTTGTCTGTTAATATTTCTCTGTAATGTCTTCAAATTTTGAATTTATATTTATATCCAAAGTTTTAAATTGTAATTTTATCTTTTGAAAATGTAGTATGTTAACTACGAAACATGTCAAGATTAAAAAATATCGTGTTTTTTTTTTAAATGTGTTCACATTTAAATATTAGTATTAATGACTTTTTATTTTTTTGTACATGAAAAACTTGTTTAAAAAAAAATATTTTTTTTTATACAAATAAATAGCAATTAGTTTTCTTGCTTTTCCTGTGCATTGATAAAAACAGTATAATTTAGCAAAAACATTTGAAAAACTAATTTAAAAATTGTCCATGTTTCTAGCGCAAATTATAAATATTTCCTTAATATACTGACTGAAAAAGGGCGCAAAAAGTTGTATAACAAAAAATATATTTTTATTTTTGTTAAATTCTTTGTTATATTCTACTTTTTTTCTTGGCTTGTATCAATTTTGGTAGTAGAAAAGTGTACCAGCTGTACCTTTTGCTTGATGTGTCAATAGGGTTGTTAAGTGACTAAAGACTGGCTTATGAAAAAAAAAGACATTTATGGTTCCACTGACTCCATCATAAGGACTTTTATTATGCTTTCTTGCAAAAAAGTGCCACTCTGTAGTAATGTTGAGTTCTTGTTTATGGTAACATATGTTGGTTTTTATTAATAAGCATTCCTTGACTGATGTGAACACAATATTTAAAAAAAAAAAATCTCTCAGGTAACAGATGCTTTGCATCTATAGTCTTCAAAATTAGAACCTGCATTCTACAATGACAACCTAACTGCTGCCCTGATAGCATTAAGATTGTCAAGTTTTGGGCAGCCAAGTTTTTATGTTGTTGCGTTAAAAATAATACTTTTTTTATGATATATATATATATATTATACTATATTATATTGTTGCAGTGAAAATAATGCTTTTTTTTAATGAAATATATCTATATTATATAGTACTGTAGTTTTTGCATTTTAAGGTCTATAAATATTGTATAAGTTAAACAAAATATTTTATTTTTATTTTAAATTTATACTTGACATATTTTATTTCATTTAGCATGGTACTATGATAGGTCTTCGATCAGATTCTATACGAAAAACATTATGGGCATTTTCAGAATCGTCTATATTTCAATACCATATTCATCAAGAAAGCAGAGATGTTTGGAAACTTCTTCTTAACAAAAATGAATTTGACCTGGCTAAGGAATACTGTAAGCATAATCGAGCCCAAATGGATCTTGTTTTACGTAAACAAGCAGAAAGTTTATTTAACGAGAAGAAGTAATTGTTACATTTTGTAATTCTTTCTTAAACAGTTTTACTCTCAAAAGCTAATTAATTATCATAATGAAGTTTTTATCTAATAGTTATCATAATTAAGTTTCTACAAATTTTTTATTAAACCTAATTTAAAACAGTATTTAAACTTAAGTTTTTACCTGGTTCAAATCATAGTTAGTAAAGTATTTAACTGGTCCAAGTTATAATTTAAAAAGTATTTACCTGGTTCAAATCATAATTAAAAAAGTATTTACCTGGTTTAAATCATAATTAATAAAGTATTTACCTGGTTCAAATTATAATTAATAAAGCATTTACCTGGTTCAAATCATAATTAATAAAGTATTTACCTGGTTCAAATTATAATTAATAAAGCATTTACCTGGTTCAAATCATAATTAATAAAGTATTTAACTGGTCCAATTTTATATTTAGATGGCTGTTATAGCATTCAAGTTTTATACAAGCTTATGTTAAGAATAACTGAGATAAGGTTTATACAAGGCTGTGTTAGCTCCATTAAAGAACTGCACATAAGAATAACTGAGATAAGTTTCATACAAGGCTGTGTTAGTTCCGTTAATGAACTGTACATAAAAATAACTGAGATAAATAAAATGTCTACAATTAAAATTTGTATAAATGCGGAACAGTTATGTTTAAATCAATATTTATACAAAAAAACATATTGCTCAATTATAATCAATTTTTAATTTAGACAAAGAAATGTATGTGTTTATAATAAATAATCATTCAACATGAGGAGAAGATAAGAGCCTTTAGAAGTGTTATAAGGAAATAAAGATTCAAAAAGAAAGGATTCAAAAAATAAGGATTTAAAAATAAAGAGACTTAGTTTAAGTTTTTTAACACTTTTGATTAAAGTGTAAAAGACATTACTTACATAAAAAATTGTTACTTATAAATATAATATAATAATATAAATATTAAATATAATAAAGTATATAAAAAGTGTTACATAAAAAAACAAATGTATTTTATGTAAGTAAATGTTACTTTTTGGTTCATTTGGTTAATAAAAGTTTTCTTTGTACTTTCTTCATAATTTTTTAAATAATTATTAAAAAGTACAAAAGTGTTAAGTTTAATTGAGAAATTTTTGTTGATAAAAAGTAAAAATGTATTAGGTCTAGCAGTAAAGCTTTTTTTATTAAAAAGTAAAGTAATATAAATTGAGGAATCTGAATTAATAAGATTCTCAATATTATGTATTGGTTTTTATTTTAGGTATGTACAAGCTGCTGCTACATATGCCTTGACCCTCAATTCATTTGAAGATGTAGTTCTCAAATTTTTAGATGTTAATGACAATGAAGCATTAAAAATGTTTCTACAAAAAAAAATTGGTAATTTAAAGCCTGCTGTAAGTGTTTTGCTTTTGTTTATATATATATATATATATATATATATATATATATATATATATATATATATATATATATATATATATATATATATATATATATATATATATATATATGTATATATATATATATATATATATATATGTGTGTGTATATATATAGCATATATATATATACAGCATATATATATATACAGCATATATATAGCATAAATATATATATATATAGCATATATATATATATATATATAGACAGCATATATATATATATATATATATATATATATATATATATATATATATATATATATAGCATAAATATATATATATAGCATTTTTTTTTTTTTTTATGGTGTGAGTTAACAATATTCGTGATGTCAGGAAGATTTGTAACTGACTTTTAAGTTATTCCTATTAAAGATTTTGCAAAACTTAAGTGTTTTTGAAAAATCAATTAGATTTAGAAAATTTTGATGTTGGATTTTTTGTGTTAATCCAGCATCAACATTTTCAACATCAAGCGATGTTGGTTCTTATATTTTGTGAAAACTTTTAAATCAAAAGGAAGTTTTCGACAACACCATTTTATAACAATTCGTTAGCAGCTAGTGGGTATAATGAAAAATCTTGCCTCAACAAAACCAAAATCACAAAACATTTGCTTTAATCTTTAAATCCTATTTTACATTACTGAATAATCACAATACATTATTCTCATATGACTGATTGTGAAGGTCCATTATTCTTAGATTACAGATTTCACATTTTAACTCAGGATTAAAGTTTTATAGATATTTAGAAAATCTTTAACATTACTTATTTAAAAAAGCTAAGATTCTCATACATGAATTAATATCCTAATATCTTTCCTAGGACAGGGTGTAAACTAGCCCTGTTGGGTCCCGTCAAATGCAGTATTTCTAAATGCTAATAAAATTAAAATTCCCAATTAAAAAATTCCATTTTCCAAATAAAGTTAGCTAAATCATATTTTAAAATTTAGAAATAATTCTGAAAATTATTGAAAATTAATTATTATTAAATACTAATAGAAAAATAACTAAAGATATTCAAATAGTACATGTGCTTCATCAACAAAGTTTGTTCAAAATATCAAGAAGTTGTTTATGTCAGAAATTTTGATTAAAGCGGAGATATTACGGAAGTTTTTTAAATTGTTTTTTTTTTTTTTTCTTTTTGTTAGTTAATATCAACTGAATTAGGTGATCGCATCGGCTATAACCTTTTTTTACTTATCGACATTGACTAAAATCTTTTTTTACTTATCTACTATCGTTTCTCGACTAACTTTTTTGGCTCGACTAACTTTTAACTTGAAATATAAGTTAAGTTCAAAAAATGTTTTATGATTAGAAGTTATAATCGTATAAAATATATAATTATAATATAACAAATTGGTACTGCAAATTTATTTAATGAGGAAAATAGATTTCTTTACTTTACTGCTTGCTTGTATTTAAACGTAAATTAAATACGTATTTTAAGATGTAAATTAAATACTTTTAACAACAAGAATGTTTTTTTTATTACAAAAAAATGGTACTAGAAATTTTAAAAACAAGAAAACTGGATTCAACGCTTGCTTAAATTTGAAATGTTAAAGCAAATTTAAATCTTTGAATGAACCACATTTTATGACTACGAATGGAAAAATAATAATTGCTGTTCTTCTTTGCAACAATAGTGCGCAATGGCTTGCAAACAATATTCTTTTGTAATTAAATAACATTTCTTGGTGTTTTTGTTAAAATTTTGTAATTGTAACTTTATTTCGTTATGTGATTTATGTATAAAAAATAATTATATTAATTAACAATAGAATTGAACTCACAATAAATATGAAATTTATGAGCTTGTGTTACTATTTCGAGCTACTGTTTTAAAATCTTTTTTATTTTTCTATTTTTAAAACATTTCTTTTGATGACACAGTTTATGGTGTCATCAAAATGTAATGGTGTAAGAGTTCGTCTATAAAGGACGTCAAGCAGAATTTGATACGCTTGTGTTTGAGAAATGCATTGTTGATTTAGTTGTTTTCTCAATTTGCTCGTGTATCAAAACAGAAATCCATTTACACAAATGCCACCACTAAAAAAGAAATATATATTCAAAAGAATACTCTTAAAATAAAAGCAACAATCATATATTAAGATAAAAAACAAATCAAATATACAATTCTTAATAATAATTAATATACACTGATTAAAGTAATATAAAAATATATAATTCTTAATATATCTTTGGAAATCGGAGTTTAATTTGCTGTGTGTCTGTGAACCCAATTTAATTTTGTATTGACTTATCTTCATCTTCAATAAATATTACAGATGGTTTTTTTTTTGATTTTTTTTATCCAATAAATGTATGTAGCGCTGAAGGGGAGTAGAAGAGGAAAGAAAATAAGAAAAGGACCCTAAGTATTCCTGAAACATATTTTAAATTCGAAGGGAGGAGAAAGATTGGAAAATATTTTGACAAGTTCCCAATTTTGTCAAACGCTGTATAAAATTTATTCCTAGTTAACACCCTGTAAGAATAAGGTAGAACTATTTACAAAAAACTTTTCCTCTAGTTCATCTCATGTAATAACCATACTCTTCCTGTCATCCCAATAAAATAGGCTAATCAATTGCCTTACCCCTAGAGTGGCTCTGTTTTCTGATGACTCAAGTCTTAACAAAATGTAATCATCTTTTGATTGTAGCTAAACTTTAATCTAAGCTTTAATTTTGTTGATCTTTAATCTCCTCTGTTACAACTCAGAGTTTCCAATGGCTGGTACTTTTTTAACCCAAACAAAACTCAATACTGCTCGTGCTTATTGTAATATCATTAATCTTCTTGATAAATGATATTACATGTACTGAGTCCTCTAATTTACATCTTCTTGGATTATCTTTCACTTCAGACCTCTCCCAGATTGTGTATGCACAATCCAGTGGCTGGGCAGTTTAGTTGGTTAAAGCGTCACACAAAATATTAAAAAGATTGTTGTGCAATTCAAGTTCAAATATTGCCACTCAGTGCTTGAGTACACTTTGGTACTTGGTACGCAAAAATGTTGGTCAATAATGGACTCTAATTTGGATTAGTTTTAATGACCATTAGTGGTTGTTCTTATGCTAAGCCAAAAATATTTTCAATATAAGAGGCTTGTATAGAAAAATATAGCCTGAAAATTTAGCTAAAAAGTTTTGATTTTTATGCAGCTGAATCTTTAATTTAAAATCAAATACAAGGAAACATATATATCTTTAAAAACAAGGAGTATGTGCCCATTCAGATAATTTAAGCATAGTTTTTCTTTTTTTCTTGCAAGTTACAAAGTTAAAATAATTTATAAAAGCTTGAGAACAAAAACATATAATTTATTTAACTGAAGTTTAAGTTTAAACTTGTGTTGAATAAATTATTTTTATCTTTTATTGATGAAAGTTTGTATTTCTATACATTAAAATTAAGGTGTGTTCACTAATTTTATTTTACAATGCATAGAAACTATGTGAACTAGAAATAATGTTGCAAATTTAAATTTTTATTTTCAGATGTTTCTTATTTAATTGTAGTTTAAACACCTTTCAATCACATTTGAAACTTTTTAATTATAAAAATAATTAAATTAATAATCATTATATATTATTGCTAAACTTAATCCTGTTAGCAGTAGTAGTAGTAGTAGTAGTAGTAGTAGTAGTAGTAGTAGTAGTAGTAGTAGTAGTAGTAGTAGTAGTAGTAGTAGTAGTAGTAGTAGTAGTAGTAGTAGTAGTAGTAGTAGTAGTAGTGCCTCTTTGAGCGTGTTTGACACGGAACCCTTGGCAGCTATTGCAGTTGAGGTAGTAGCAAGAAAGAGTCACATAAACTTCAAATTATGTAATGTTAAAACATATTAAATGTATCAAGTTTTACAGTTTGACTTTCGCTTGAAAATTGCATTGCGTCTAGCTCTCCTTAATTTTGATTAGAGCTCCTGAACAAAAAAGTTCAAGTCCTACTACTGGTGAAATTTTATTTTTTAATTTTTTTAGATTACTTTAAAATACTTGTGAAGTTTTATAGAGATTATATCCAAACATATGTAATGATATTATACACTTTAACAAGTGAAAAGGTTTTAAAAAAAGCTAAAAATGTTAAAAATATCAAAAATTGGGGGGAAGCTCTCTACATATTATTGCCAAACTTATTTCTGTTAGTAGTAGTAGTGCCCTTTCGAGCGTGTTTGGCATGGAACCCTTGGCAGCCATTGCAACCAAGGAAGTGGCAAGAAAGAATCGCAACACTTTGTTTTTTTAAGAAAACGTGAACAAATTTCTATGCAAATATTTAACATACGTAAATTTCAAAATAAGTAATATTAAAACATACTGAAATTAAGTAATATTAAAACATACTGAAACATTTATCAAGTTTTACAGTTTGATTTTCACTTAAATTTTCACTTAAAAATTGCATTGCCTCAAGCTCTTCTTAATTTTGATCTATAACATTTATTTCAGTTTAAAAAATTATTATATACTTTTAAAATTTTTCAAAATTTTAAAATTATATAATAATTTAATAATAAAATATTTATTAATAATCAAATATATAATAAAAGTCAATGTGCCAGTGTGGTTGAGTGGATAGCGTGCAGAGCTTCTATACAAAAAAGCCGTAGTTCGAGTCCTACATCTAGTAACTTTTTTTTTTTAATTTTTTAAGATTATTTTAAAATACAAAATACTTTTGAAGTTTTATAGAGATTGTATACAAACATATAAAACGATATTATACACTTTAATGAACGAAAAAAATTTTAAAAAAGCTAAAAATTCTAAAAACATCAAAACACCAGGAGAAAAAAATTTGTTGCGTATGTGTCATGATTGAGATACTTATGTTATTGATGTGCTCAGGTAATTAGTCCTAATAAGCTAAGAATAGTCTAAAAAAAATTATGATCTGAAACTTAGCCAAAAAAAAGTTAATAAGACAGTCCTGCTATTTCAAAAGGTGCTGGTGTGGAGGCCTGGTGTGGAAGCAAAAAAAAGAAAAGAAAAAAAAAAAAGCTTGTAGCTAGAAAAAAATTTAAATTTTATTTTAGCAATTAAAAGTCCTTTTTGCCATACTTATTTTTTTGCCATAAATATATATAAACAGTAAATATAATCAAATATGTTATATGCAAATGTAAAAAATCCACTTATATAATGTTTTATCCAGGATCGTAAGTTTACTTTTATTAGTTTACTTTTCTAATAATTAAAGTCTTTTTTGCTCAAGCTGTTTTATTTTGAATTTTTGTATTTATGTTATTGTATTTTAAAAAATTGATATGATTGAAAAAATACAATGCATATTGTCTCATCAAAGTGAAAAATTTCGATTTTATATTTCACACACAATATATATATTGTCTCATCAAAGTGAAAAACTTCGATTTTAGATTTTCCCCTCTCTCTTGGTAATTTCAGACTGCTAAAATTATGTCATCTTCTGAGCACGGTCGCTTAGATATTAGAAAAAAGCAGTTTTTTTTAATGTTTTGGTTTAATTAAAGAGCTTAGTGCTAAAAGTACTCAAGTCATAAAAAAATTGTTTTGAGAATTTACTTTGATCAGTGATATAACACTTTAAATAAGAATTTATATGACTGATAGTAGTAAATTTTTTCTAAACATTTATTTTGTGACTTAAGTACTTTAAGAACTAACCTCTTCAATTAGACCATTAGACGCAACTTTTTTTTGCATATGTGAGGTCACTTTGTGGCAAAAAACCAACTAGAAATAAGATTTTGTTTAAATTTTTTCGGAAAGTTCTTTTTATTAAAAATAAATAGAATATATTTTTATGGATATATTCTAATATATCACATATAATACAGGCTAAATATAGTAATTACTGTTATTTCTTAAAAACTATTTATTTATTACTATTGTAATAAATACAAACTCTTATCAGTGAAATGATATTTCTGTAACAATTTTATATTTTTTTCTGCAGTTGTATGCACAATAATTAAAATTAATCAAAAAATGTAAGATGAATGCAAAAGCTTGACATATAGTTTGTTTTTTTTGCCACAAACTGATGTCACTGAGCAAAATATTTTGGGCTTAACTTTTAGATAAGCGTTTTATAGCTAAGGCCATGACTATGGTTTTTAATTCTCTAAAATTTTCTTAGTTCTGCCATTTGTTTAGCGTTACGTACGAACATCTGTAAGTGTCTTTATCATATGTTGAGTTTGCAGGCAGTATATGAAACGATTGTGTATAATAAATCTACAAAATAAGATTACTTTAAAATTTTATTTTAACAATTAGAAATCTTTTTTGCTATAATACTATTTTTTGCTATAAATATATGAGCAAGATTGAAAAAATTTCAAAATTTATTATGCTAAGGAAAGGTCTTAAAACCTCCAAAATGACTCTGATGAAAGCACACTAAACCACTGAGCTATCAATGGTATGCATTTGGGAGAATAATAAACCTAATTATAAGTCTCTTATAAGCTCTACGTATGCGTAAAAGGTGCATATGTTAATTTTTTTGCCTCTAAAGCAATTTTTCAAAATGAACTATTTTACTAAAAAATATTGAATTAAATAAGGAATAGGTATAAAAATGATTGGTGTGGAATAGATAAGTATAGAAATGGTAGGTTTAGTAAAGATTCGTATTTTATAGGTCCGGAAAACTAGGATATATATATGTAAGGAAAAAGTGTAGAAAAGATCGGTGTGGAATAGACCCATATTTTTACGGGTCTGGTCAGCTAGTTTTTATGATTACTCTCCCCTACTTAAAGTTGCAAAAAAAACCGTTTTTTTTGCAACTATATAGTTGCATAAGTTACACTGTTTTTTTTTTTGTTGTGTTTTTTTAATTTATTATTAATTTTTTTTTCAACTCTATCTTAACCTAATTGTACGGTGATGGGGGTAGGTAATAGTTAAGGTTAGTAGACACAATGATAAAAATTAATAGACTAGGTTGTCATAATTGTTGGGGTGAGCATAGTTATGTCCAAAATTAGCATTAATTTGTGTCAATAGATAGTGGAGATTTTTTTATGGAAAAAGGTTGTGATTTTTTTTTTGGAATCTTATAGGAAATGCTAGATGTACTCTAATGAAATACAAGGATGTAGGAGATAATCTACAGGTTTAACATAAATATTTGTTTTTTGTTTTTTTGTTTGGGTAAGGTGTCAGTTCTTAAATGGGAAGGGAATGAGTATTTGGAAGAAAAATCTTTGATATGAGAGGTATTATATAATTGAAATCAAGGAGATTTCTCTCAAAATCAGGTATTTTTACCCCATGCCTACAATTAAGTAAGGAAGAGTAACAATTATAAATTTTTTGTAATTAAGATACTTATATTAGTTATTTTACAGTTTTGTGTTTATTAATGATATAACATTATGTATTGCTATCAATTATATAATATGTATTGCTATCAATGATATAACATTATGTATTTCTATTAATGATATGACATTATGTATTGCTATTAATGATATGACATTATGTATTGCTATTAATGGTATAACATTATGTATTGCTATCAATTTTAAGCTGAAAATTTTTATTTATTTATTGATGATGCTGATGTAACATTTTAGGATAAGACTCAATTAACAATGTTGGTAATATGGCTTTTTGAAATTTATCTTAATCAACTTGGGCTGTTGCGTGATAGTGGAGAACCTTCTGAAGCCTATGATGTCATTCAAGATGATTTTCGCAAATTTTTTAGTCAGAGCAGAATCAAGGTATAAATAGTTTATTATTGTTTAGTATCAAGGTGTAAATAATTTATTGTTTAACATCAAGGTGTAAATATTTTATTATTGTTTAGTATCAAGGTGTAAATAATTTATTATTGTTTAGTATCAAGGTATAAATAGTTTATTATTGTTTAGTATCTAGGTATAAATAATTTATTATTGTTTAGTATCAAGGTGTAAATAATTTATTGTTTTGTATCATTTACTTTATTTCCTTGTGTTTTTTTGTTTTGTTTTTTACCCTTTTTTTTACTAATATATCCTTTTATTTATTTTTATTGTATTTTTTATGTATTTTCTTTTTTTTTAGAATTGTCTTGAGCAAAATAAAAATGTAATATATGATCTTCTATCAAGTCACAGTGATGCTGAAAATATGATTTATTTTGCTACACAAATGAAAGGCAAGTAACATTTTTTTAGCCCTTTTCTTTTGTCAATTTCTATTTATAACAGCAAAGTTTTCTATTTTAAAGATTATCGGCGAGTAATTCAACACCGGATTCAACAAAATAATTACTATGGTGCTTTAGATGTACTTAGGAAGCAAGTAATAAATAAAAGATTTAAGTTTTTTTTTCTAATTTTAATTTTCATAAACAATTTCATTTACATCTTAAATCGCTTTCTAAAATTTATAGTTTGTGTTTTTTATTTATGTATAAATTTTTATTTTTGTGGTTCTGTTTATAAGACCGAAGAAAATCAGCAATATCAATCAGACTTGTTTGAGCAGTTCTCACCCATTCTTATGCAGCATATTCCTAAACAACTTGTGGACGTTTGGAAGCTGAGAGATCTTGATCCAAAAAAGCTCATTCCTGCTCTTGTTACGCAGACTCAAAAAAATGATACCAAATCTCTTAGTTATGCCATTGATTACTTAGAGCATTGTGTATACAAGTTAAATAATCAAGAAAAGGCGATACATAATTACTTAATTTCTTTGTACTGCAAATTGGATGACGAAGTCCCGTTGCTTAGATATTTAAATGGACAAAGTGAGGTGCATGATTTTTAAAAATCAAAATTTTAAAATCTTTTTACTAAAAAAACTTTGGATTTTTTTGTATTTTACTTTTGTATATATCTTTTTGTTATTTAAGGATATAGGTAGTGTTTGTTATGAGCCAAAATATGCTCTACGTTTGTGTTCTGAAAATAAAAAAGATCAAGCAGCTGTTTTAATTTACAGTGCTATGGGTCTGTTTGAGGAAGCTGTTGATTTAGCTCTAAAAACCGATATTGAAAAAGCAAAGCTGTATGCTGATAAGCCTGAAAATGATGACCAATTAAAAAAAAAATTGTGGTTGAAAATTGCTCGACATGTTGTAGACCAGCAACAGGATATTGGAAGGTTTTCACCATTTAGTGCATTTTATTGTATTTTAAGTGAATGTTGCTTCATATTGTATTTAGTTATTGCATTTTATATTCTTTTGGTTACAGGGCTATGGAGTTGCTAAAAGAATGTCAGTTGCTTAAAATTGAAGACATTTTACCATTTTTTCCTGATTTTGTCACTATTGATCGTTTTAAGGTTTATTTTTGAGTTGTAATTTTATAGATATAATATGAGTTGGGTGCGAAATCATTTTTGTATTGCGTATAAAATCGTTTTTACAAGAGCAGAAAAGATAAAATTATTTTTTATGATTTTGATGAGTTTAATCAGAATACTTGCAGTAAATTATTTTTATTTTTATAACTTTTTAAATTAAAGTTGTTTACTCATTAAAACAACCTTTAAGACTTGTAATTCTTTCTTCTTATAGGTGCAGTATGTTTGTACTAATTTTTTTTTCCTTTTAGGATGCAATATGTGACTCACTTGAAGAATATAATAAACATATCAATAATCTGCGAAAATCAATGATGGTCTAATTTTGCCTTACTATTTTTTTATTAATGTTTTTAATGCTTTAAAATGCTTCACTACATTGTTGCAATATTGTTTTTTTTACTACACTTTTTTTTTTGTTTTTTATTTTAAACATCTTTGCTTCCAACAAGGCTGCAAGCAACCACTAATTAGAGTTGGATGTTACTGGAAGAGAAAAGATAAAGATTGTAAAGTAAGATAGCGATTGACAAACGACTTTGATTTAGACAAAAGATTGCAAATTACATGAATTAGGAAAGCAAGAGGAAGGAAGTGAATTCCTAAGAACTGATGTTGGAGGAAAAAAACTAGAGGAATAAGAGTTTTTGGAGTACTTAGGAACAGTCACAGAAACAGGATGAGACTATATTGAATCACTAGTAACACGAAAATGAATTTTAGTAGATGGCACAAGAGGCGCTAGCTCTTTAGAGCAGTGCCCATTATAGTATTTGTAGAAAAGAGACAGAGAAGCAACATTACAAGAATGTGATAATGGTTGTAGGTTGGCTGCAAGAGCAGGTCCAACTATTTTTACAATACGTTTTTGCACCTAATCTAAAAGAGAAAGGGCATCATTAGGAGATCTGCCCCAGATATAGCAACAGTATTTCATACAAGGCCAGATTTGAGATTTATAAAGATAGAGAATAGAATCTGGAGTAATAAAGTGTCGAGCTCGATAAAGAGATGCAACCTTAGCGGATGCTAATTTTGCAACGGATTTGATATATGGTTTCCAAGAAAAATCGGAAGTAAGAGTTAATCCTAGAAGATGAAGGGTAGATGACTCATTGAGTACATTACCGTTTATAAATATAGGAAGTTTTTCTGAAGAATTGTTTTTCTGATAGATATGGAAATAAGGGTTTTTGATTGGCAATTGTAGCAGCACAATGTGAGAAAAACTATGGAGAAGAGTGAGGCTTGACCTGGAATTGTCAAGAGGGAATAAAGGATTCCATTCCAGCCTGAATCTACAAAGTTATTTTAGAAGCACGTTTGTCAACAGAAAGACAAAAGATTTCTACCCAAGGGCCATCACAAAGAAAATCATGGAAAGAGTCCCAGTCAGCTTTAAGGTAGTTGTAAGATGTACGATGATAGGGGGATTCTGATGATAAAGAAGAATGAGATAATAGTTTTAGAGAGATCAAACTGTGATCAGAGGTACCTAAGGGTGAATGAGCACTGATTAGGATCAGAAACAAGGCATAAGTTGAGTAGAGAAGGTAAATGATTCAGGTTGTCTGGAAAGTGAGTTGAAAAGTTGACTATTTGCATTAGGATTGAGAAAGGCAAAAGTTGTGAGCCAATCCATTTAGTGTGATGAGCATTAAAGTCACTGACAACAACAATATTGGCTGATGGATAAAAAGAGATGGCTTGGTCAATATGATCAGAAATAACATCAAGAAGAGTGCAGTCTTGAGATAAAGGAAAGCAATATAAAACAAAGAGATAGGTGATAGAATGAAATGGTGCTAAATGAAAGCGCATAAAAGAATAGTCTGTAGATTCAAACCTAGTTTCCCGTCAAATGGGTGAATTCTTATGAATGTAAATGCCCAGGCCAAGCATGATTTAAAGGAAGATAACCATCAACACTGATATCACAAGATGAGACAACTGAACTTAAATTAGTTTCACAAAGAGTAAATAGGTTTGGTGAACTTTGCAAAAGATAAGACTCAACAGAAGAAAAGTTACTTTAAAAACCACAAATATTAGTGAATGATAGATTTAGAGAATTTAGTGATGACAATGGTTTTTTGTGTTTTATAGTTTATGGTACTGTATTCATTTTTAATATTGTTAAAGAACTTGACTCAAAGCATAGATAGTACTCAGTACACTGTTTAATAGCCCAAGCAATTGCCTCATTACTATTAATAAACCCAAAGCCATAACAAAGGACTCCCATTGTGGCCATGACAATGCACAACAAAAGTACAAACAGGGACACCATCCATGCGCAACATGGCACTGTTAGTACTCTGATATTTTTCAGCTATTGATGGAATCAGCCTCTCTGAGAGCTACCACAGAGTTCAGAAAACCAGACTACCAGCCAGCCTCAGAACCATAAAACTGAGTTTTAGAGCTGTACCCTCTTTAGGAGATAATAGAATGAGTTGCTTAGTCATAAAAACAGGGACACAAGCAAAACCCATGCATCGAGTCAAGAAGATCCAGCATTCAACATCCTAAACTGGAAACAATGTATTAAAAATACATCTGCACCAGCCTAATAGATAAAGAAAGGGTGCAGGGCTAGTCAATAGATAGAATCTGTTTACCCCTTAAGTCTTTGCCTAGGAAGCCTTCTACAAGACAGTAGCTAGATGCATTTAACATCTAGCCAAGATGAGTATTTTTATCGAGACACCATCTCTAGTCTTTACTCAATCAAGAGCCCTAAGGCAGGGGGTGTTTTAAGTTGGAGTTGGCACCTCCTAGCCTTTGCCTAAAAAGGCGTATCCTTTAAGGTAGCAGGACATAAAGCAGATTGTACTGGTTTACATGTTACCAGTAGTAGGATGACATGATCTGACCTGAAACTTTGATGTTTTGTATATTTTTGAATAGTATTTAGATTGATACAATATCGAAAAAAATAAAAATTGTATCTTCCCAGTATACCTTACTGCTCCCACTGTAACAGACAACACTTTTCTTTTGTAATATGGTTCTCTGTATCTTAACCCTTTTAACTGTGAAAAAAAATAATCTAAAGTTTTACTTTAAAAAAGTTGATTTCACTAATACTGTTTATGTCTACTATGAACAAAATTAATTCAGATTAACTATAAAATTAATTTCAAGATTTGGTATTCAAATTAATTTAATCATTAGAAGTAATTTGAAAAGAAATGGTTTTCAAATTAGTTTGAAAAGAAAAATGAAAAAAACACATATAAATCAAAAAGAAAAGGAAAGATAAAAGTTAATAAATATTAAGAAAAAACAGAAAGTTAAAAGGTGGAGGGGGAGGGTGAAGGTAAAACTAAATTTTAACAATTTTGATTTTTAAGCTTTTTTTTTTTTTTTTTTTTTTTTTGTATTTTGGCATATTTATTTTCATTTATACTTTTTTGTATAGCTTATTTTTGTTTGTTTGTATTTTTTAATGTTAGACTCAATCAGCAGTGAACCATAAATTGGGTCCAACAAGTAATTATAAGAGGACAATCGTTTTAGTAACTTAGTTGTTTAAGTTCTAAATATATAAAAATTCTAAACTTTTTAGAACTTTTTCTGAAATAGCTGCACAGTGGACCAGAATGGCAAATTTTGAGACAAAACTAATAACTAATTTATTATTAGTGCTACATTCATCAAATTTGGCACAAGTACTAATATGAGGTCTGGGCTTTTTTTAAGTTTTTTTTTAATTATTATTTGGTTGCTATGGATACCTTATTTGCATAGCAACAAGTTATTTTTGGAAGTTGCAGGTTTTTTATTTATGCTATTTTCACTATACTTGTTATGTGTCTTATGAAAGAAGTATTTTTTTAAATTTAGTTGCTATAGATACCTAATTTTGCATAGCAACAACCTTTTTATGCTAGTTGTAGTGTTTATATGTACTGTGTACAGTATATTTGGTGCTTATATTTGGTGGCTTATATTTCTTATTGTTTCTATTTTTTTTTTTTTTTAATTCCACAATTCCCAATCAATTGCCACACTTGAAAAAAATGGCCACTACCTGGACCATTGTGCATATATCCCTCTCTTACATTACCCAAATTTTCAAAAAGTCTAACTAAAGATCAAAATATGAAAACTATTATTTTTATCTTGTTATTTTGTAATAACTTAACTAATTCCTATTGCATTTCTTTAAAAAACAAGTTCATAAATTTTAAAGTTACCTATACTGTCCCAGTTAAACATCTGTTATTGAAAACATATTTTTTTGTGGTTTTACAAACAATAAAAGTATTTGAACAAATTATTTAATCAAAAGTTTATCAAAAAAAAACATTTATCATTGCTGATAAGTTTATAAAAATTATATAAATTCTTATATAAATTTATGTACAAAATAATTATGAAATGTACAGTCTAGTTTTTATTTTAGAAAATGAAAAAATGTGAATTATACCATTATATAAAAGAAAATAATTTGAGTATTTTATCTAAAGATATCAATAATATTTTAATATAACATATATTGGTGGTAATAGTTTAAAATTGGATCAATTTATTGTGTTGTATAAAAGAAAATGGAGCAAATGCAGAAGAAATAATTTTTTTTTGAAAAGAAATTTAACTTCTGGTTAGATAAAGATTTATATTTAAAAACTAAAAAGTTAAAAATAGGCGGAAGACCAAAAATTAATTTCAATTAAAACAATTAAAACAAAACAAAGATTATTTGAAGAAAGAATATACACCAGAATAATTATTATTTGCTGCAAGTGAAAAATGTAAAAAAATAGGAAATTTACCAGCCGCAATAACATTTTCAGCTGATGAAATGCTAGCTTTAGTTTTAGATTGTGGGCTGACTAAAAATGCATATCAACTTATAAGATCTGCAGCAGCAATTAAAGGTCACAATAACTTGTATCCAGCATATAATAATGTTAAAGAATCTAAAAAACAATGCTATCTAGATGTGGAAACTTGGGATGTTGACAGTCATTCAGCAGCAGTTAAGAGTCTCTTAAATCATACTGCATTAAGATTGGTCTCTTAACACAGTAATACTCTTTCACAAAGTTGTGTATTAAGATTAACTTTAAAATCAAAAGTTGGTTTTGATTGTGCAACAGGTGATATGCAAACAATTTGCGCCAGATCAAGATGTGCGCAATCTTGTTATTGAAGGAAGCCTGTTTTTTACCTGCTTTGTTCCATTAGAGTTAAGTGGATTTATTGGTCAGAAAAAAAAGTAATCTGGCTTAATCCTTGTCTTCTTCAACAATGTTTTGTAGACTAATAAGGTTTAGATATGTAAAAGAAACAAATAAAGTCATCAAAGCTGAGGAACAGTTCATTGAAAGTCCAAAACTTGAGTTAACAGTCTTATCAAATGGTTCAGCGGTGCTACATGTATTAGAATTAACCATGATAGATGGAAAGGTTGCACTGTCTGAAAAAACAAATTCAGCTCAATGTTGCCTAGTGTGTGGAATAACTTCATTCAAGATGAATAATATTGATGCATGCCAAAAAAAAAGTTACGATTTACAAAATGAACTTAAGTATGGCTTGTCAACATTACATGCCTGGATAAAGTGCATAGAATGCTTTTTACATGTTGCCTACAAATTTGAAATAAAGAAATGGCGAGTATATGGAGCTGTTGAAAAACAGTCTGTAAAAAAATATAAGGATGAATTTCAACGCAAATTAATTGAAGAACTTGGTTTGATTGTTGACATGCCTAAAGCTAATGGCTCTGGCATTAGTAATGATGGCAACACTGCTCGTCGTTTCTTTAGGGAATTTGAACAAGTATCTAACATAATTGGTTTATCAAAAATTCTTCTTGAAAACTTCTTTTTGATCCTATGTACATTATCCTGTAGTCTAGATGTTGATGCTGATATATTCCAAGAGTATTGTTTACAAGTTGCTCGCACATGTAAATTTATTTCCATGGTATCACATGTCAGCAAGTATTCATAAAATTCTTTTTCATGTTCATTCAGTTATAAGAATAATGTCTTTTCCAATAGGCATGTTATCAGAAGAAGATTAAGAAACAACAAACAAACTTTTAAAAAAAACTGTGAACATTTTAGTTGTAAAGTGTCCAGAGTGAAGAATAACAAAGACTTACTAAGACGACTACTAAATTCATCTGATCCATGAGCAGTTTGAGATAGCCAGTATCAAGTTTAAATAAAATTCAACTTCCACATGAAGCAATTTAACTATTAAAATTGTCAAGCTTTAAACATGATATCTAAGTTACATTCTTTATTAGAACAATTTTTTTATTTTAATTTGAATTATTGTTGGTATAGCTACAGTGCAGTGTTTTATAAATAATTTGCAATTACAATGTTTTATCTTTGCTATAAATGTAATATGTTTACCACACTGGCATAGAAACAGGGGGCGAGGGGATGATTGTTTGTTGTAATATATTAAATTCACAGTTATATTTAACATTCACGCAAAAACTGAGTAGTTAGTATGAAACTGAATATAACAACAAAAAGCTTGTTGCTATAAAAAATGAGGTATCCATAGCAATCAATAATAAAAAAATATCCCTTGAAGCGGAAACCTTATATTTTTACTAATTCCAAATTTAGTTATTATAACAATATCTGTTAAATTCTATATTAGTTTTTCTTCAAAAATAGCTGTTCTGGTCTGCTGTGCATTGCACCCCCCTCCCTCCTCTCTCTCCAAACTTTTTTCCTTATTTTTGAACTTTATTATAAAATATAATATAAATTTTTGTAAATATAATATAAAATACTGAAAAAAAAATAGCCCTCCCCTCCCCTGACATAAAAACCCGTGCCACGATTACAGATTTTGCTAAGAATACACCATTAAAATAGATATTGCAGTTGCAGTTGCAAACAGTTGCAAAAAAAAATTACATACATTTATTCTTCATAGATATACACATTATGTAGGCTACATGGTTAAATGTCAGTCGCTGTCATTTAAAAGTTTTAGAACATTTTCAATTAATTTTTCATGAATAGTTGAGTAAAATGAGTATACAATATAAATTAGCGTATGCCAACTTTAATAAATATATCATTTAATATTTGCATCAAACTTTAAATTATTAATGTACTAATGAAGATTTACAAGAATTATTTAAATTAAATGTTGTAAAAGTAAAATGGATTAGATTTAAAAAATACATGAAAATTACAATTTTCAACATAAAAGCTAATTAAAAAACAATTAATGCGCTTCTAAACCTAACTTGATGTAAAAAAAAAAAAATCAGTGTAATATAATAGTTAGTTAAAGACTTTGCAATGATATACGAAAAAAAAATTCTTATATTTTCACATTTTGAAAAAAATTAATGTTCACTATCTGGCCCACTGTGAGCTGTTTATTATGAATGTTTGCAAACTTATTAACAATAAAAAATTGTTTTATTTTCTAAAGAGACAATGAAGGAAAAACATATTTAACAAAGTCTTATTACCTTATCTATGAGTACTGAAATAATAGAATAAATTTAAGTTAATCAAAATTTTAAAGCTATACAAAGATTTTTAAGTTAAAAAAAAAGAGAAAAAGTTAATAAATTTTTTAAACAAATTTTTTTGCAAATACTTTACCAAAAGTAAAAAAAAAGGAAAACTATTTTAAGTTTTCTAAAAATTTATAAATAATTTTTGTTTTTAAAAATAAAAAATGCAATGATATATAGTAATTAATATAGTATTGAAAAATTAGTATTACATTAAAAATTAAAGAATTAAAATATACCTAAATTTTTTTTATTATGTAGTATTTAACATTGATAGATGTATTTGAAGGCTTTGGCAGGAGTGAATGTGAAAAGCCTATCTAAAACTAACTTTTTGGGCTAGGCAAGCCATCTTCCTTGATATTTTTTTGCATGGATATCAGCATTTGCACAAACTTTTTGTTTTAAACAAGATCAAAAGTTTTAAAAGAGAAATTAAGATAATTTTGATATTAGTGATTTTATATTTTAGTATAGTATTTCTTTTTTTTTTCTCAACCATCCTAAAGCACTTTATCAAAATTTTCAAAATTTAAATATATTTTTATTTAACCAATTGATAATAACATTTTTAAATTTTATTTCTTTCTAATATTATACACAAAAGTTCATCAACTTGTTTTTTGTGAATTAAGTATTAAATATTATAATTTGAAAATTGCACCAAAATAACTCTAAGTGAAAGAGCTGAAAAAAAGATTTTTTGAAATTAAAATTGCAACAAAATTTAACTTATTTATACTTTAATTACAAAAAGACTTTTGTAATTAAAGTATAAATAAGTTTAATATATTTATGTATTGTTTTTATGAAACTTAAATTAAAAAAAAAAAATTTTTACAACTATTAAAAATTACTAAAATAATGAATGGGTTTAATTGAAATTAATTAAAAATGTGTGTGTCTGTTATTTTGGTTTCAGTTGAATTGTGTTTAATGTATGTTAAATAACAAAGTAAAAAACATAGACTCTTATATTGATAATAAAAAATGTTTATTTATTTTCAGTATTTGTGTAGACTGAACTAATTTTTTTATTTTTTATTCAAAATGTTTTCAATTGAAAATATAAAATTTAAATTTATTTTTTAAATTAAATTTATTTTCTTGAGACAAAAAAAGTTTTCATTCTTTTTTTGTGTGTTTATACATTACACATACATTGTTTTAAAGTTATGGCTTTATTTACATTACCTGTGGTAAGGTACTTTAATATGGTAATTGTCCTGATTTTGATGAACATCAAAGGATAAAATGTAAAAAGTATATTTGTACATTTTATCCTATAATATTTTGAAGCTATATGCACTTCGTTATACCTATTATATATAAATTATATCCACTTTGTTATATCTATTCTAATCTTTATTAATCTAATATATACTTTATCCATTTTGTAATACCTATTATATATATAAACTATATTCTCTTTATTATTTATATATATTTATACTATTCTTTACTTTTAAAATATGAAACAAAATGTTTTTCTGTTAGGATGCCACTGAGAGTGCAAAGCTTGTTCGTACAGAGATACAAGATATTCGTAACAGGTAAAGAGTTCAAAAGTATTATTATACATATATTTATTTTTGGATTTTGTACATGAATAAGGGTGTTTCATAGATATGGAGTGATATCTGGACAAGAAAATTGTGCAGTTTGTTATTATCCATTGGTCACACGTTCATTTTATTATTTTCCTTGTACTCATGTGTTTCATTCAGATTGTCTTGTTGAACAGGTAATTTTTTCCAAAAAGTTTTTATAAAAAGGTAAAAGTAATATTAAATATAAAATGAATTTTCATCTAATTTTATTTAACTAAGAATGGTTGTTATTTATAAAATTATTTTACAGTTAGCCCATTTTATTTTAGTTGTAGTAGTTTTAAGGAATGTTTTAAGTGCAGTAGCTCTTCCCCTCTATGTGCAGTAAAAATATGAATTTAGAGAGGCAAACAAAATAAATTTTATAATAAACTATGTTTCTATAACATATTTGCATGTTTGTATGAGTGGTGTCACAGTAAATTTAAAAAAAAACTCAACTTAATTTTTGAACATTGTCTCCTCCAAACCTCCTCCAAAACCTGCTCCAAAACCTCCTCCAAAAACTCCTCCAAATCTCCTCCAAACCTCCTCCAAAACCTCCTCCAAACCTTCTCTAAACCTCCTCCAAACCTCCTCTAAACCTCCTCCAAAGTGTAGTTTATTCAAACACTTATTTAACATTTTTTTACCTCAGAATAGGTTTTAGTTTTAAAAACTCTCTATTGATCTATTGAACCCAAATGTCTTTCCATGGAAAACATTTGCATTCTGCAAACAGATGATACTTACTGGCAGCTAGACTCAAATAAAGCTGGGGGAGTATATATATATATATATATATATATATATATATATATATATATATATATATATATATATATATATATATATATATATATATATATATATATATATATATATATATATATATATATATATATATATATATATATATATATATATATATATATTTAAATATATATAATATATTTTTATGCCTAATTTTGTTGTTAGGTAAAAATGCACTCTAAAGAGCGAATAAGGTAAACTATTCTGCTGACTTTAACTAAACTTATTGGGTTATATTTATTTGTTTTTAGATTTGTCATTTTTTAGATAATTTTAAACTCATTTCATTTTAGAACAAAAATTGATGGTCTTTATGCAAAACTCGCTTCTTTAACTTCTAGTAATGCTTCATCTTTAGAGAAAACAAGAGTAAGTTTTTTTTATTGAGCAAACCAACTTACTAAGCTACTTGCCCTAACAAACAACCACCAAATTTACTGAGACAAATAATGTGCTCAAAATTTACGTCATCTATCAACTATTTAAATGTAAAAACAGACAATGTAAAATCTACCGGTTATATTTACAAGAAGTAGATAAGTTTGAGACATTCAATGTCACTATTTGGAACATAAAAAGTCACATTACATGTAATAGCAAAAATGTCATTTATTATCTAAAATGCTTATCGTCTAATGGTCTATCTACTATCTATACTATACTATCTATACTACTATCTATATACAGTAAACAATTTAAGAAATTGCACAAATGGACAGTTGCAAAACTGTCAATTCAACAGATAGATTCGACAATCATGTATATGATTGCAAGAAAATACACACAAAAACTAAGAAGCCATTTTTTTAGCTTTTTGTTTTTCTCAAATTAAAAAATGAGAATAATTTGTTGACCTATGAAAATTATTTTCATAAACAAAAACATGACACCTTTAGCTAATGCTTCCTTTTATAATAACATAACGATGGTAACTTATAGTTACAAAACTGCAATTAAGTATTTCTACTATATAACTTTTTACATAAATCAAAATTGTGATAATAACATTTGCAATAGTACTACTGATAATAAATACTGAAAGGCCGCTAGTACTATTTAATATTTTCTTAGTAATATTTTAATATAAGAAACTTTTTCTTAAAAAAATTAACTCATTTATTTAATATTGTTTGTTTTGCTTGGCTTCTTTTTTCTTTATATATATATATATATATATATATATATATATATATATATATATATATATATATATATATATATATATATATATATATATATATATATATATATATAAACACCACTGGTCAAAGGTTTCCAAAAAAGTTTTCCAGATAAACAATCCTCAAAATCATTTAAAGTCATGATAAAATATTAAGATATTCTTAAGACAATTTTTAAAAAATGGTTGAATTTTTTTTTTTTTTTTTTAATGTTTTATCCATACTCAAGATTAAAAATTTAAAAAGAAATATGGCAAAATGAACCCTAATTTAAATTTTAAATAAACAAATTTGTTTAAGAAAATGGCAAAACAAACGATTTATTTAAATTCTAAATAAAAGAATTAAAGTTAAAACAGCAATAGTAATTTGATTATGTAAGGTAAAAAAAAAATCCATTTTAAATTTAAGTAAAATTTAATAAAAAATTATCCTAAGTTAGAAACGTTAAAAAAATATTTGCATATTTATAAATAATATACTTTCAAATAAGTAATTAAAATTTTTATATTAAAGGAATTAAAAATACTTTCAGTAAACTAAATTTGCTGGTAAAGTGCACCAAAAATAACAACAACAAAAAAATCAAAAATAAAACTTGTAATTAAATGTATCATTTATGTTATGTTATTTTTTCGTAAAACATAAAAAAAATTTAGTAGTATTTCAAAACTTTTAGTTTTAAAATACTAAAAAACTTAAATATTCTAAAACTTTCCATGCACATCCAAATTGGATGGACAAATATCTACAAAATTTTAATGGGAAAATTATGATAAGATGCTTCAAAGAAATTCGTTGTAAACCTCACGTACATTTGAATTAATTCAAACTTTAATAACTGAAAAATAAAGTTTTTAGAGGAGATACTTAAAGATCTTAGTCATGATCAAAGGCCACAAGTATTGTAAAAGTATCGGATTAAATAAGCAGATGATAAATGGCCTACTTGTAAAATAGATCCATTAAACCATGCTCAATGGTCAACTTTTTAAATACAATTTCTTTGTTTATACACTCAAGATGAATCTCTCAGCACAAACTTTAAAAAAACCTGTTACATTGTTAAAGTTTATGCTCCATCATTTAAAATTTTAAAAAATCATCTAAACTGCAAGATTTGACTCAGATTCTTTTCTATTCTTCACTATTAACCAATTAAATCTTATTGAGTTTGAAGATGTAAAAAGAATTTAAAAAAAAAAATTCAAGGTAATGCTTTCTGTCTGGTACCTGCAAATTTCCTCTATGCGATGGTTATCATAGTCATGATAAGCAGATCTATCAAGTCATGATAGATCTTTTAGTTTTACAATAAAGGTTTTTGTAAATAATCTTTTTATTTTCAGAAATTTGATTATTGTAAAATTAATTCAATACTCAAATTAACCTGAAAATAAATCAAAAACGTTTACGTAAAGTATTTTACTTTTGCTTGTTGTTCTATTGAAAATAATTTGTTAAAATTTTCATAAAAAATACTTCATGAAACAAAACGATAACCTATATCAATATTTTCTAACAAAAACTGTTTTTTTTGGTGTTATAAATTTCTTTGTGTGGAATTTTATGATAAAAGCTGGAAAATATAAAACTACAAGCAAAAAGTTGTGATTTTTCTAATTATTGATAAAGATATTGATAAAATTCAATTGCTAATCTGCAAGCTGCCATATAACTAAATTCCTTAAACTTTTTAACTTTTTTAATTATATTTATTGTAAGTCTAGGTTTACACCTAATGAGACTAATTGAACTAATGTAAGATTAATTGGATCTTTTCTTTTGTTTAATGCAATGTAAGTGGTTGTTCTGTGATTAGAACAATGTTTTAGTTCATCATCACAGTAGCATTTAAGTCAATATTTTGTACTTAAAATTTTAAGATTTGCTTTTGATAGTTTCTTAAATTGAAAACTTATATTGATCGAGGTTTGACATCATTTATAAAAGAAAATTTTTAGGTTTAGCAAAATACACATTCTGATTAATGTGAAGTTTAACAATATCATTAACCAATGAAATGCAAACTCGGTTAGTGAGAGTTAACTACCTACTGTGATTCATCCTAAAAAGATCTTGGTTACATTTCCTTCTTACTTCGATCTGCATTAGTCACAATACAAAAATTCACCAATACAGATGTGGTAAGAGAGGATGAAGCTGGATTTGAAATGCCATGCTGTCACACTCTCTTGCTAAGGATTCATCTCTACTAGTTTCTGAATTTGATCTGCATGAATATAATTTGCCTGCTTCAATTAGCCTTTTTAAAACTTGTCTTTTCTCATAATTTGTTGTTGTATTTAATTTTAAATTTTAGTTTCATGATCACAATATTTTATGAATTTGTCTGGATTGCCTTTTTATTTGCCTTTTTTTTTTTTTTTATTTGTTATTTAACAACTTTTTAGTTTTTCAGCAGTTTCTTTATTATTTAAAGCAAGCTATCTTTTATTCAATTCTCTAAATTTCAACTACCAATGTATATATACCAATTTTATGTATGGTTTTTTACTATTGTACTGGGCTTGATTTTGATTAACTTAAACCCGCCTCTTTGTTTATGACTGTGAGCGGGTAATTAATTGTTTTAGGATGATCAAATATATATCATGTAGGGCGGTTCAGCTTCTGTAGACAAAAAATTCAAGTCAACAAATTACAGAGGCACTTTGATATTTATTTTCCTTTTGACCTATAAAACAAAACTATGAAATATTATTGAAATCAGAAAATATTTAGAACTGCCACATGGGAAAGTTTGAAGATTTTTCATTTTCGGGCTTGATTTTTAAAATATTTACTTTTGTACCTATTTCCTAGAGCTAATTAGTAATTTGCAAAAAATTTGTATTTAATATTTATTTACTTATTAGTTACCAAAGATCATAGATTACAAATAAAACCAAACAAACAAAATGGCGGAAACTTGACTGCAGACAGCAATGTTAAAACAAATTTAAAATAGATGAAATAATGCAAAACATTTTTTATTTACTTACTTATAGTTACCAAAGATTATATTATAGAACTAATGTAAACCAAGTGGTGGTTGGCAGACAGCAATAATGGCTTAAACAAGATCAAAAACTTATTTAATTAATTGGGGAACCAGAACCACATTTTAGTGGTAGAGTTTTGCCCACAAGTTTGAACTTTTAAGATATTTTTTCCATCATAAAAAGAACAGTCAAACTCTGAAAGATGCCATAAAAACTGTAGTCCAGCAGTTGTGTAAGATCTGGGCCAAAGCTAGAATTCCAACTTCTGAACATAGAAGTATTGTTCGTAAAACCGAAGCTTTATTAGAAAGATACAGAAATATTTCAAAAAACAAGAGTTGTGGTGAGCCAGCACAGCAGGTAAAAGAAGATTTTTTGAACTCAGTAAACTGTCTTTTTGATATTGCTCACCATGATGGATTAACGCTGATAAAAATAGAGAAGATCAAATATTTCTTGCAAATCAACGTTCAGAAAGAAAATATTCCATGGGAGGTGTAGATAGAATTTTGGCAAAAAAAGAAGAAAGTAAAGAATAAACAATGCAAAAGGAAGTTCAATGTGGCATCAAAGAAGAGGAGAAAAAGCGAAAATCCAAAGAATATCTAGAAATAGAAAAAGAATTATTGTCATCATCAGATAGTTCAAGCAAAGTAGACAATGCTATATCTAGCGATGAAGACTGTATGGTTTAACAACATAACAATTTTATTGAGGAACATTATCAGGAGAAATCTCCATCAATTTCTAAATGTGCAAAGGTATCTGCTTTAGATGTTATTCCTTCAGCACTTGCATCTGCACTTGATCGCACAAATGTAAGTGACAGAAAAGCAGCATATATCTTAACAGCAGCCATCCAAACATATGGTGATGGCGATATATTAAAACTACCAATATCTCATAGTAATGCAGTAGTGGTGTAGTGGTAAAACACTCGCTTCATATAACCACTATTAAGTAGCCTCCTCGTCTGTAGTGGCCTTCTCGGGCTTGAGGAGGTGAATAACAAAAAAAAAAAAAAAAAAGCATTAAAAGAAGCTGAATGAAGCATTGTTTTCAACATTATGCTAACCTTAAGGCAGCCTTTAGTTCGAAGGGACCTTTAGTTATTCATATTGATGGAAAACTTTTGCCAACAATTTTAGGTAAGCCCAAAAAAGTTGATTATCGGGCGGTTCTAGTTTCAGGATTAGAAACAGAAAAACTTTTGGCAATTCCTAAAGTGGCTAAAGGGACTGGTGAGTTTATAGCAAATGCAACAATGGTTGTCATTTCTGAATAAAAATTGCAAAATCAAATAGTTGTAATTTCTTTCGATACTGCACTATCAAACACAAGTCAACTAAATGGTGCATGCACAATTTTAAAAAGAAAACTTGAAAAAAATTTCCTCTGGTTCGCATATCATCATCATGTGCATAAAGTTTTGTGTGGTAAAGTTTTCAAGGCAATTTTTGGTCCATTCTCTGGTCCAAATGTGTTGTTGTTTTGTTGATTTCAGGAATATTGGCCCAAGAAACATATACAGCTTGCACAGATCATCGTTTAAATGAAGAACTGAAAGAATTGAAGAGAGAGGTAGTTGATTTTATTTTAGGAGTTTTTGAATGGAAAGACAGGAAATTTACCCAGAGAAGATTATCATGAACTTTTGGAACTTATTTGATCTTTCTTGGAGAAATCCCACCTCGAGGCATATAGTTCTGAGTTTCTGGTGTTTTTTACCACACGAGGTGGATGTCTAAAATAATTTATAACATAAAAATGTTAGTGTCTCTAAGATATGAAATCATTTTATTTTCTGAACCACTCTAATATCATGGTTGTTCTCTCTTTTGGATTTTAATGTTGATGGTTTATTCAAAACACTTTTGTTGTAGTTAAAACCATTTTCTACTTGTTCAATTACTGAACATTATTACTAGAGGCAGTAGTTGTATTTAAGAGATTGTTATTGGCAAAATATGTAGCTGTTCGTTGTTGTTGCTGTTTTAGGCTCAGATTCTCCTTTGATTATATCTAAAAGTCATAACTAAAGTCAGAAGTAAGAGCTAAATATATTATATAATTTGAAAAATATTGCTGAAAAAAAATTTCAAGTACTAGATTTTATTGCACAATTTATCAATTTTAATGCATCTTTGTTTTTAACATTTATCCTTGTTATTTTGTTGTTTAAAAGCCAGCATACCCACTTATATTGTTTATTTTAATTTCTTAATTAGAAATATTTCTCTGTTGACTAGAGCCTAATCTTTTTCCATATACACATTGACAGGTCTATACACTTGAATATTAATATCAAAAAGTTTGAATCTCAATCAGCATAAAACTGCATGAAATTCTAGGCTACTATCTAGAAGCTTAGCTCTTATTCACCATTACAAATTATAAGCTTAGTTTAACAGCTCTAGAAAT